ACTTCACTATATATTCATTTATTATTTTATTTGTTGAAGATGTAGAGCTACTCTGTAGATATGCTTCAATAAATCGTTATTATTATTATTATTATTAAATAAGGAAAAGAACTATAAACACGAGTCCATGAATTCACCGTCATAATTATTATTATTGAGCACGCACAAGTGTAATTAGATCTAACTTGAGTGTGAATAAAGTAAACAGCATTGGCGATTAAAAAATACAAGTGAAAACACAGTTGAATTAAAACATTGCATTGAAACCAGGCTTTGAGAACATTGAACCGAGGCTTATTATGCACATACAGGAAATCCATTTCATTGCAAGTATTCGATATTGAAACAACAGGAATCTCGAAGAACTCTGAGATCATCCAATTGTACTGTATTTCGTTGAATGGTCCTCCCTCTGACTAGTTCTCCAGTTATGCTATGCCATCTGGCTCAATTAGCACAAGTGCCTCCAATATACACAACATATTAGTTGGAAACGAATTCATTTCATTTTTTTAAAACATTTTTACCACAGTTGTAAATGTTCTCGCGCGCTGATTGGTTAAAAAACGTCGTAAATAAGAGACCATACCAATAAATGGCGTCATGCAAGTTTTGTCACTTTGTAAAAACTTTGTTTGTCGAGAAGTTTTAACCACCAAGGAGGATATGGAGACACAAACGACACATACTGGTGTCTCAAGCTCTACATCTCAAAGCTAAACCCTCTGCAAGAAGCCTTTTCAAAAAGCCTAAGCAACTCAAAAATGCCTCAAACCCAGTATGGTATGAAAACAAGCCACTTGGTGTCAACAGTCTGGCAGGAATGATGAAAAATATCCCCATTGGTGCCAATTTGTCAAAGGCCTACACCAACCATAGCATACAAAGCACATCGATCACAGCGCTGTCACACTCAGGAGTTCCTTCGAAGCATATCATAGCCATTTCTGGCCTTAAGAGTGAGCAGAGTCTGGTAAGCTGCAATTCCAGACCATCCACAAGCCAAATAAAGTGATGTTCTGAGATTATTTCCAGCGCTGTTGGGTGTGAAATGGAATTGTCCGGCTACCAAACGGATTAGTTATAGACCCACTAGGCTTGCGCCTCATGAGTCAATAACATTTTGACCAACGTTGGACATCAGATCGTGGTAAATAAAAGGACATACCACGCTAAACCATCGTAAATTTGTTAAATCGATAACTAGCATGACAATGGACAAAATTCGTTTTTTTAATCCTAGAAATTTTAAAATGGTCGAAAGTGATTCACATTTGGCCTAAATTTTTTTTTTAAATTTTAAAGTTTTTTTTAAAAAGTCACATCTCTCAAGGAGACACCTCCATTAATCTGAGCAAAAGAAAAAACGCTTCAGTATGTTATCCAATCAGTAATAGGCCACTGTTTTTAAGTAATGAAGATGATGTGACAACATGTAGTTCTCTCAAAAGAAGTCCTGTTAGAAACCAAGGTAAGTGTAAATATACATAGAGTATACAAAACTAATATTATGGAACTTTAAAATTGCATTTTTATCATTTATACTTTATGACGTCAGATTCAAAAGACCATACACCTTTGTCATAATGGCAGATAATGGCATATTAGATGATCAGGGACTGGTGACTAGTCACACGAGATGAGAAAAGCCTCGCTTCATAACTATCATGGCGTCTTCTTCTACAAACTGAACGGATATCTTAACTGAAAAGGATATTCCTGGGGCTCCCCTCGAAGTAAGAAATATAACAGAATTAAAGATTGCCGATCTGAAATTTTGGTTGAAGTGTCGAGGGGATCGAGCAAAAGGTTTAAAAACAAAAGCTGAGCTTGTTAAAAGGTAAGACGGAAACAACACCGCTCGAAGTATGTTGTGAATGAAGACGAAGCTGAACGACGCATTCCTGTGAAATTCCCTGAAAATAATTGGCGAACATGTCTCCAAAAAATGACGATGTTCACTCGAGCAGAGATGAACAACCAYGTTACCAGGTCAGGCAAGAACATCGCAAACAAAAAATCTAACAGTGTTCCCACTAGCTTCAGAAAAACGCCACCTTTCTTGGAGGACGAATACCTTCATAATATCGAAACAAATGATGATCAACGATGTTTTTATGTGAAGGCTAAATGCTATCACAGTTTTAGAAAGAATGATCCTCAACATGACCTAAAAGTGGCGCTCT